GAAGGAAGGAAGGAAGGAAGGAAGGAAGGAAGGAAGGAAGGAAGGAAGGAAGGAAGGAAGGAAGGAAGGAAGGAAGGAAGGAAGGAAGGAAAAGATTACATCCATTACTAGGTGTAATTGAGCAAGAGTTACAATATCAATTTCAGAGGATTTCAATATGCTTATATCAATTTCTCTCTTTCAAAAACAGGGATATTTTATAGAAAAGTGTTTTGAAAATATATGTACATGTAGGATCTAATAAATATTTAAATGTGATTTAAATGTGTGTAATTATACTTGAATATACAGTTTAGAAGAGATTGGTTTATCACTCACTTTTATCTTCAAAATAAACACGTTCTAATCGTATTTTGTATAATTACATTTGTCCTTTAAACTATTACATGGGAATATATTTCAGATAAACATTAGGATAAAAGTGTACCGCTTCTGAATAGCTAAATTACAATAATTTGAAAATCCATCAGACAAATTTGAGTATGTTACTGTACAAAGACCTTTTTTTTTTTTTTTTTTTTTGGAATACATTAGTAGGAAATCTCATACAGGCTGAAAGAGTAGACATAAAAGAATATATAGAGTGGATGCTGATATTTCAGGTTGAAAGGTAGCTGTGGCCATTTTAGCCATCATACAAATGATAGTGAAATGAAAAGAAACAGAAATAATATGCACTCTGCAGTGCATGAGCTTATAACGTTTTATTTATCATCTGACTCTTAAAATACACATATCATATTAGGCTCTACGATTCTGCCTCATAGGCACTCTGCAAATTACAACTAAATGGTAACCCCCCCCTCCTCATCTTCTCTAACTGGTAGTTTATGTAAATTCCTTTTTTATCTTAACTTAGGGCAAAGACAACTTTAAACGTGTAATCCAGTATGTTAATAATAGCGAGGTTTCCTAGCATCTCGGGACAAGTCCTGGAGGAACAGCTCTTGTCTCAGAGCAGAATACCGCCATTATTTTATCATTAATATAAAATTATCCGAAACAATGTGATGTCATTCAAACTAAGATCATAGCCTTGTTTACATGGTATAGATGATCTCGATTAAAGCTACTTATCTTTTTTTGTGCTTGTGACTAGGCTGGCTCAGTGATCGCTGTTCACAAAGAGAATGGCCCATTTCTTACTTTTCACCTCTGGCATTTCCAGTCATCTTGTTTGCTTGAGGAAAACTATGTGGGATATGTACTGCATGCAGTCTTTACTCAGGATTTGATAAGCTACTACTTATTGGGTTATTTCACGTGATTGGTGAAGTTATTTTACTAGTAAAGACTATTATAAGTAAAGACTATTATCAGGCTTAAGGATAGTGTTGCTCAGTGCACTTTTAAAGCTGATTCCTTCGAGTTACACTAGAGTGCCCTGAATTAGAGTTACAAAACAGGCTTGGCTAGACCTATTATAAAAATATTTCATGTCCACAGATGTGCTGTTTATTGATTCTCATTTGCTTATGAACTTCCTCTTGGTATTCCTGAGTTACAAATGAAATTGGGAATATCCGACATAGTGTAACATTACAGAGTGATGCTGATCACAGCAATTATTTAATTCTACCAGTATTCATTATGGAGTTTCAACGTATAGCTAACTTTTATTGTATGCATAATTACCAGGCATTTAAAGTTAAACATATGTTTAAGTACATTCCTGGAGCTGAGCCTAATGACCTAACCTTTCCCCATGAAAGTCAATGGTAATATGAGCCATTTGTGTATAATGGCGCAGGATATGGCTTTTCACATCTAATGATGAGAAAAATACATTCTCACTTTGTCCTTCTAAAACAAAGGGACAACTTTTAGCTGGACCCTATGTATTCCATAACTCAAAATACAGTTTTATTGCCCCCTCAAAGGAGCTACAGAGTGTTGGTGCTGCCTGTCATGTCCAGAATAAATAGGGTGGTGACAGTAGCACAATATTTAGGCCTTTCAGTAGATTTTTCCCCCACTAAAATTGCATCCCGGATAAAACACTTTCCCCCTCTCTTACCCCCATTTCTCTGCTTTGTACAGAATCAGAAGGAAAGCAATTTTCCCTAAGAAGGAAGCAAAAAGATTGCTAGTATTTATGAACATTGGCTAGTATTTCAAAATCTATGCAAATTCTAAGAGATGAAGCCAATATGAAAAGGAGTGGGGAGAGGAAGGTAAGGACTAAGCTTGAAGCTTGTAGAACTGCGCAATCTTGAGCACCATGAAAAACCAAACAATCAAAACCAAATAAACCAACAAGCAAAACCCAGTAGATTGGTGCAATTTGGTGCTACTGATAATTTTCAAATGACCTGGAAGTTTTTTGGCCTTTCACCAGCCTTATGATAGGAGAGGTTAGAGTTCCTCTGCAGACAGCTTCAGTTGTTAGGGCTAGGGAAGGGTTAATTATGTATGTAATTAAGCAAGCAATTAAGAGGTGGGAGGGCTCTCAACTATATGGTAGCCTGGCCCTGGGTGGTTGTTGGCTACTGGGCTTGGGAGAGCCCTGCTCTGGGAATAAGCCTAAACCTGGGTGTAGCAGCACTGCCCTTCTGTAACTGCAGTAGTGCAGGCTTTGGAGAACACTGCCCCATGACAGAGCAATGCAAGATATTGGCTTATTGCTTGAAGAAAAGCTGTGTGACATTACAGACAGTTCTCTTCAGGTAATTGTTTGATGTTAATTGTGGAGACTGAGTTTTCAATGGTTGGCTGGGCTATGTGTCCTTTATGTTTTTGTTCAGTAGTTTATAATTCTGGGAGTGAATAACTGGGTTAGTCCGATGGTTGCTACTCTTCAAGTACCCAAATGCAATGGTGAAAATGAAAGATTTCTAAAAGATTTTGTTTCTTCATGGATATATGTCATCTGTGTCACTTTTCATCATTTACTTTCTTAACTTAGGATATGGCTGGCCACTGTCTACAAATCAATTATATTGTACACTGATAATAACTGCATGCAAAATGCACCTACAGAACATGGATTCTTCAAACAGAGTGATGGTGCACTTCGGTAGTAAAGTTAGAGAGATGGACGGGCCTTGCAATGTATCAGCTGTAGTAGTTCATGTTCATAATGTTTGATTTCTATCGCTTTGTAATCAAAATAAGTTGAAACATTGTGGTAAGAATCTGCAAGCTGTGAGCACGGCTGAGTTTGCGGGTGGGCTCCTATGGAAAGGTCTGAGTGCTCAGGTGGCAGCACTCGGGCTGCTATCCAGGTGCCCAACCTGGACCCTTGTGCCTGTGTTCCCATGCTGGAAACTGCTTCCTCTTTCCTCTTGGCTCTGTTTGGCTTCTCATCCCTGGGGAGAAGGAAGAAAAGCCCAAATGGAATCATAAATTGGATGGCTGGGTGATGTGTCAGGGTTGTGCTTGCAAAGTGACTGCTCAGACCATTAAACCATGGCTTAGGTGTATGCAGGAACAACTAATTATGACTGTTGGTTTTACAAACACAGAATTTTCTTTTTGCAAACTATAAGCAAGCTCACTTCCTGGGTATACAAAAGAGTCACCTTCCACTATTCTTATTCTGTTGCAAGTACATATAATTTTATATCACGCAGCTTTTCTGTAATATCTTGGCCTTGGGAGGCCTTGCAGTGAGCAGATGCATTTCAGGTGCTGCTGGTTTTGTTGAGCTCTGTTGTCAGAAATCAAACTGTGTCACCTCTTTCACTTCAGCGAGGGATATCATAAAGCCCCAAAGAATATAATGCTGCCTATGTTTTTATGCTATTTCAGTGCTCTCGTATTTGCTGTCATAACATATTTAGCTGTCATAGCCCACATAACCTTTTTTAGATGAGATTTAAACTTGTATAAATTCCTCTGAAGAACGTTTGTCTCATTATATGGAGATTATTGATATTTCAGTGAATTACATTTATGACTAATAACCTCTTATAAGGAAAAATCTATTCAAAACAGTCCTCTGTAAGAGGCCTTTTAGGCCAGGGAAAAAGAAAAATCCTGAGTGACTTCATACTTGGCTCCAAATTAGTTTGTTAGTTGTGGAAGACTGCAAATAAGCAATTTTCCGTGTTAACTGAACTGCTGAAGAGTCCCCAAAGTTTTTCTCATTGCATGAGAATCCCAAATGTGTAGCTGTCCCCAAAATTGGCAGATATATTGAAGGAAGGGCGTGAGTGTAAATGAAACAGCACGGCGCGTTTCGGTACTCTATAGATGCTGTACTGCAGCTTGAGGTGCATGAAGTGCAGGGAAACCACTCTTTTGGCCTACAAAAAGGGGATGGGGGGGGAAAACATACCTACACTTGTCACCTGCCTCATTATCTCCTGTTGATTTTCAGTGCAAATGGGAAGTTGAGGAAGAGCATAGGCTATTAAGTTATACCATGTAACAAAAAAATATGTATTTTAATCTTCTTGCGAATAAGTGGTTTGGCTTGTAAATCACAAAGGCTTAATGCTTTAAAGTATCTGAAGCTTGTTGACTATACGCTGAATGTGTTACTACAGTGGAAAGTGCTGGGAGTAGAAGTTCTTATCTGTGTTATTGGCTTTGGCAGAATTTTTTATATAGCAACTATATGTTTTTAGTTGTGAAATGTGTCCTAGGCAATAAAAAATAGAAAGCAGTGCTTCTATCAAGCATGACTCGTTATATAAGCTTGGATTTAATATTGATTTATCCAGCACTTGCGTTTATCCCCTATTGTAACTTTTACAGTTCTAGGTACCAAGTTGAGCTTTTGTATGCCTTGCTTCATGATTCTCTTTAGAGATTCAAGCAGGCGTCTCGAGGGCTATTGATTTTTTTGCAAGTTTATTGTTCCCTCAGATTGCAAAGCTTTGGCATCTAGAACTTTTTACACTAGGAAAATGAATATGTTAGTCACCTGTGACTTTTGAGGAGAGATGTTTATGCTTGGTCAGATTATATGTGAAGAATACCATGGAATGGCCAGATTTCAACTGTGGAAGTGTGCATGAAGTGTTAGGTTTCCAACTGGTTCTTTTTTCATGGAAAGAAGTAGAAAATGTGTGAAAGTGTGTCTATAGAGCAGGCATCTCATTGGCCTCTCGTCCAGCTGGACCCTTCACCTTGTCCATCTCAAAACCTCAGCTTGGAAGCTGAGGTTCCCACCACCCCAAAAAGAAACAGGCCTCCTCGTTTGAGGCAGTTAGTCCTGTTTCAAGGATCGATTCCTGCAGCCGATCTTTGCTCCTTCTGGCAAGGTAGAGTCAGGTGGATTTAACTTACACCTGAATGGCTTAAACTGAAGGTGAAGCCTACTTAAGTGACTTATTTTCATGCTGTAGGTGGAATGGGTTGTCTTGGTGACTGCTCTCTCTTTCACTATTGCAAAATATGTTGATGTATAAAAATCTAGACATGATGAGAGTATGTAGGTCACTTCTGGCATTTGGGTGTCATGTAGAGTGCCCAAAAATTTCACTGTAACATGCACTATGACCAAAACATTGCATTGTCTTTTGCCCCATTGCAGTGATTTGTTTTGTCACATAAGGTTTTGGGACTGATTTGTTTTGGTCTGGGGACTGATTTGTTGCTTGCTCTTAACCTTGTAGTTACATGTAACACTGTGTAATTTACAACTGGGTTTACCTGGAAATGGGGAGCATTTGTATTGAATAAAAAGGTTTTTTGAGTAATTATGTAAGCAAGCTAGATGTGTTTCCAGCTTCCACTGACCCTTCTACATTTGCTAAGATGTAAGTAGTTCAGCATAACACCAGTGTAGCTGAGATGAATTTGTGCTCAATACTTTATGTTCGATATTTGTGAAAGAATCCTAGTGGTGGCAATAGTTTGTTGTTGTTGTTTTTTGTGTGAGTATTGGAATATCTGTAAAACTATTAGAAAATAAAATTAACTGAATATCTAACACGGAATCACAGCTCCAGATGGATATAGGTTTATTTCAATACCTTCCTGAGTAAACAGCAAGTTTATATCAATAAATAGAGCTCCTTTGACCTTGTTAAATTTCATTTTGTTGAAGCTAGAATTATACAGATATAAAAACACCTATTTGTACTACCTGTTTTATTGTTATCCCATTCATGTAAATATTTACTTTTACTCTGTGTTGCTAATTTTTCCAACATCTCTCATGTGGCAGACGGCAATTTGTCAGGTTTTAAATTAATTGGCAAAAAAAGTCAATAAGCTACTAATAATGGTTGTTGGGTTTTCTACTTGATACCTTTAGTTGTCTCATACTCACAATTACTGTGCATATTAAACTGCTAATTAATATTTCCTGTGGCTGGAGAAGGTCTCCTGTTGGCCTGTATTGCAGCAGAGGGTCATCGCAGTACATATAATTTTTTCTATTTATGAAAAAGGGTTTTCCCAGCATACAAGATAAGTAGAATTTAATGGCAATGAGTTCCATCCCCCTTCCAAAACTTTATCTATATTTATTTCAGAAAAATGTTGTTCATAGTCATTCTGTATCTTCCAGCCTTTTATTGCTACCTTTTTCCTATCAATAACAAATAACAAATGAATGCTATTGTGTCTAGCATTGCAGTGGACCAGGGGAAAATGGAAGAAGTGGAACTTTGCTCCCACTTTGGTAAGCAAAAGACATAATATAGATAAATGCACAATTTTTACAAACTTTCTAATGGTCTGGAAGGAAGCTGCTGTCTACCTGAGGGACCGACAATTCTATTTGTGAATTTGGTTTTCAAGCATACTTTATAGAAATATTGGAAATAACGCAAATGAAATTTTGTTCCCACTTAACTTTCATTGTAAAGGGATTTATACTAATGCCTCAATTATATTAGTCCTCTAGATTTTATAAGAAAGCCGATATATAATTCCATTGTCTATCACTTGTAGTTCTCTGACTAATTAGCAATTATAAATATTTCCCTCTGGATTAATTGCTTAGATAGCATTCAAAATGTAAATCTTTTCACATAACATTTATATTATTTGGACTGAAAAACCTCCTTTTCATTTTAGCCTTGGCTGGCTTTGAACCTAGGTCACTGAAGCAAAACACTATTAATCATCTGCTGATATCTAATTTTTACTCCAGTCATTTGTCATTTATACAGAGCATTTCATATGCCTTCAATTTAAATTTGGTCTTAATTCTAGTTATCCTAAGGGTCATTTTTTTATCAAAAACTTGTTCTTAAATAGATGAATGAAATTTTTGTTTGCGGCTGCCATGGCAGACATCCTTCACTCTATGGAGATAGAGTGAAGACATTTGTGTGCATATGTGGCATGTTGAGGAGTAGGGCTCCTCTGTGAACGCTTGTCTCGGACCTCCTTTTGGGGAGGTTTCCTGAAACCCAAGCCCCAGTTCCGATAGCACAAACCCTCCCAAAGAACCAGGCCTTCCTGGTGTGGCAGAACTGGAGGTTCAACACATGATACAGGTGACATCCCGTTGCTATTTGGAGAAGAAAGACACCAAGTTATGTCTGCTCTGAGGTGAGGAATGGCCAACTATGGCCAGCAGTGGCTGAGTCATTCCCTCCGAGGAGGAATAACGAAGCAGGTGGCTGGGCCACAGGTGGTTCCCCAGCTTTGGGCTGACAGCCGGTGGGAACCACCAGCTCCCAGGGCAATTCTCAGCACTGCTGATCCCATAAATACCATGTTCTAGGCCCAGTAGTGTCACATTCCCCAACCTCCTGCTCACCCTTCCCCTGATATGGGGGAATGAAGGCCAGGGAGGTTTTGCTGTACTACACTCTATTGGCTTCCCTTGGCTTTCCATCTGTCCAGTTGTTCATGAGCTAATGGGATCAACCAGCATTGAGACCAAGGACATCACAGGGGCATTTGCAGGTCACCACCAGGGAATATTTCATGTGTAAAATGAGGGCTGTGTGGCACAGCAGGAGAATACTGTGGGAAATGTTATGCTGTGGAGGAAAACATACATCATAAGTGCTGCATAGATTAATAATATCTGCAAATTGAGTAAAAGAAACCTAATATTTTTTTTCCTGAACAATTATACTGAGGAAAATACATTACCTAATTAAGATGAAAGGGATAACAACCTCTGTGAATTGTTATGGTAGAAAATAAAGAATGGTACATTAATGGAACTTAATTTTATCATTAAATGTATTTAAATTCATTTTTACTTATGACCATATTTTTATATTTTATATGAAAGAGATTTAAATACCAGCATAAAAATGTTGCAGAGCTTTGTAATTAGGAAGAAAGTAGCGTTAATGAAAAATTCAGTTCTCTTAGCTGTTAGGAGATGCTGAAAATGATCTATCATTTCTGTGTTGCAAGCTTGATTTCCGTGAGGCCGATGGAGCCCTTTGCAAGCTGCACCACTGGCATATGGTGCAGCAGGGGAGCGAGCACATGGTGTCCTCCTTGGGGCACCCAGGGCAAGATGTGAAGAGGGTGCAGGATTTTGGCCTTTCCCAGCTGGATCTAGTCAACAGGTTGGTGAACAGCTGTGCAGTATCCCCTGCTGGCCTGCCATTTCCTTGGGAAGGTGAAGATGGTTTGAAAAGATGAAGGAAGTATCTGCAGCTTGGATCTGAGGGTATTGAGTTGGACGGACCCTCTGCTCGCAGCTTGATCCGGTGCTGGAAGTGGGAGAGGAGGCCCATGTTGGCTGCACTCTGTGTCTTAGGCTCCTGTTCAGGGTTTAGCAGAAAGGATGAAGTCTTGGCAAATAAAACAGTTAGCTCTCTTTCAGTCAGTGAGTGCAATTATGGCATATAATTTCCAGTGGAGTGACTGGAAACCCCTCAGAAGGAGACTGGCAATGCTGGGGGGACATAAGTGCTGCCTGTGGTGTAAGTGCAATGAACCTCGGCTGCGGGCAGGATTTGTTAAATGTAACTTGAAACTATGCAGAAATTAATATCTGTGTTCTCGTGCGTACACAAAATAAATGCAGATTTGAAATTGCTTCCCATTCTTTGAACTTGTTCCTGTGATTTTAAGCCAACAAACAAAAAAATGCAGATATATATTGGAGATGTATTGCTCCTGTTCTGCAGAGCTCCTGGGAACAAACGTCAAACCTGCGATGTACAATTATTTCGTGCTCAGGGAAGTAATCAGCTTCTTGGGCTTTTCCAGTTTAATATCTTGCTGTTCTTGTATATCTCAGGACACTGCACCCAAATTATTTTAGAAGGTTAGTGCATTAAAGAGATGTGTTAAAAATGCACCTGCCTCTGACTATGCGTTTCTTGTATTGACATGTTGTCTTTGGCTTAAAATAATATGTTTAATGTTTATTTTGTTCTTCTCGGGAGACCTACTTTCCCAGAAGGCCTCTTTGTCAATAAATGCTGACAGTTGTTGATAGTTACAAGTATTAGAGACATTTCTGGACAAGGTCTTTTGGTGCGTGTGGTATCAGTCAATCTCTTTTATCTGCATACATGCTGGCTTTTTCAAAGGAAGCATGGCTTTTCTTAACAAAAGCTGTGCTGATTCTTCAAAAATACCTTATTTATTCAGTGTTTTCTAGTACAGTTTTTTATTACAAAGCCTGCAAGCTTGTGTGATAGGGAAAACAGATTTACTGACTGTAATTTCCCTTATCTCTGACACAGTCATTTTGGGGACCTGGTGTCACATTTGCCTCTGGCACTGAAATATCTTTGACTGTTATTGAGACAGTTTTGGGTTAAATTGTACCAAATAATGCTGTTAAATGGTCACCAGTGAGACCATTTCTGTCATGGTCTGAGATTTTTGAGAAATTTGGGCTTCAACTCTCTCAATTCCGATGACTATTTTCTGAACAGGTCTTCCTTTCTTTATATTTATTTGGAGGAGGAAATGTGGTGTGGGTGCCATGGAGGGGTGTTCAATAGATGTGGTGAAATGAAACCTGACATTCATTGCATTAGTATTTTATGTTTCTTTGGCTTTTTGGTAAAATAAGCGTTACTACTGAGCAGTTAAAATAACACATTGATAGGAACCAGTAGCTCTGTGGCTTGCTCAAGGAGAGTATGAAAAGCAGTTGGTGAGGCCAGTGTGGTTGCAATGTGGAGTCTAACAAACTCTCAGTTGGTGAGTTAGACATCACTGTGAGATACAAGGTAGGATTTCTTGCATCTAAGATAATGCAAGATGATGTCATTAGCATCTTACTGTAATTAAATGTAAGACACTATTATAATTAGGGAGAAGCAAGAAACAAAAAACGAGTTGTCTGTAGTCAATCTGACATTAAAATACGATTTGTATAAAAATGCTTGAAGCTCAGCTAACACTAAAGACAATTTAAAGTGATAGCTTATTCACTGTTTTTCTAGATAAATAACATACTTCATAGTCGTATAACAGCAGCTGTTTCATTGGAATAGTCTCGTCAAAATTCTGACAGCAGTAATTTTAAAAAATGCTTAAATTATTATTTCTTGGTTGCTCATCAGAAAAAATGTCACATTTTGGAATATTTATGAAACAATTCTTGAATAAGGAGAAGATGAGATGTGGAACAGCATACTTCTAACTGTACCACAGGAACCTGCTTCATTAAAAACATATAATTTGCTTTTCAACTAGGAATTAGAGAGAATTGACAAGACCTGGAGTAGTGCGATGAATACTTTTTTGAACATATACATCTGAAGGAAAAATAGTAACATCCAGTCCTTCCTACATAACTCCTCAATCAAACACTGAGGGCAGATATTTCATAATCCTTATGCCAATATGACTAATTTTCAAATTGGGAATCTATATCCTAGAATGAGATCATCTTTCGTTGTCTTTTCATTTTTACTCATTTTTGGTTTTGCATTTGCAATTATGCTAATAGTTTATAAAAATGTATATAAAGAATTAATTTCCAGGATAATGGTCCTGAGATTTTCTCCCTTTACATAATGCATATACATACATCATTTCACTATTTTCTTTCCAAAATAAAAATAAAAATGTGGTGAGAACTTGGAAGAAATATTATTCCTCCATGAAGCTATTCTTTTGGCAAGATAAAACACGATCTTCCACGTGCTTTTATTCAACATGTTTGACAGGATGCTTGATTTGAATGCTCCGAAGTTTTTCCTCTGTACCATTACCACATATGAATGCCAGTTATGCTTCAACTGATGGTTCAGTTGATCCATTAGTGAATGATTTAATCAATTTGCAAAATACTTTTTTAATGTGTTGAAATGTTTCAGGGAATTTCAAGTTGTATGTGTTTTTGACCACCTAACACTTATCCAACAGCAAAACAATTTAAATCTGCTTGTAATCGATAAAAGGTTTCTTTTTTCTAATATCTTTTTTTTTTAAGCTTTGTTATTTTGAGGAAATATGAAGAATCAGAATAAAGGTGGACTGGTTTGCAGCCTGCAGTATTACATGTGTGCTAAGCCTGTCGGTACGAGCGATTAACCATGAAGTCAGAGTGCTCAGTATTCTAAAATACATATGTGTCTCCTGCTACAAGGAGAAGTTTGGACTAAATTAGCTCTCAGTCATTGCGTAGGATGATAAAAAGCCAAATTAACATTATGAAAAGGAGAAAATATCTCTAGGTCTATCTCAGAAACTGTATGGCTTAGTGACTGTGAGGTTCTGCATTCATACCTACTT